GGGTTTCGTCATTTTTTGACCAACATTTCCTAGGATTTTGACCAAGTCGTACAAATTTTTCATAAAAAAATTTCCGGACCAGCATAAGCATAGTTAAAATTTTTTTCCGGCGATCAGGCTTTATTTCAATGCGGGTTGGTTGCAGACCTCTCAACTTTGCAGAGAAGTTAAGAGTGAGATTGGGGATGTGGATGACACCTTTGTAAAAGTCCTGTGGTCTGAAATGGCATTTCGTACATTATGAGAGTTGGCCATGGTGTTTTTTAATCAGAAATACATTGCTTCATAACGTCCTTTAAGACAAGGCACTGTAGTTACAATAACTGTATTTCTGCAACATACAGTAATGAGCTTTAATTTGCCTTTGATAATTTACATATAGAATTCTGCTCCGACTGATTCTTACGGAAGCCCGGAAGGGCCATACGAATATTGCTTTCAACTTTTTGAATCGTGCTTAATAATTTGTTTGAATCGCGATCTGAACTTTCGAACGTTGCTAACTTATAGAGGATCGTGTTGAGTTTTTGCACGACTTTTTTCTCGACTTTTTTCTCGACCTTTTTCTCGACTTTTTTTCTCGACTTTTTTCTCGACTTTTTGCACGACTTTTTTCTCGACTTTTTGCACGACTTTTTTCTCGACTTTTTTCTCGACTTTTTTCTCGACTTTTTTCTCGACTTTTTTCTCGACTTTTTTCTCGACTTTTTGCACGACTTTTTGCACGACTTTTTTCTCGACTTTTTTCTCGACTTTTTGCACGACTTTTTTCTCGACTTTTTTCTCGACTTTTTTCTCGACTTTTTGCACGACTTTTTTCTCGACTTTTTTCTCGACTTTTTGCACGACTTTTTTCTCGACTTTTTTCTCGACTTTTTGCACGACTTTTTTCTCGACTTTTTTCTCGACTTTTTTCTCGACTTTTTTCTCGACTTTTTGCACGACTTTTTGCACGACTTTTACAGTACAAATTTAATAGAAAATATGGCGGACAATACATCTAAAATGGACTGTTCGTCAAATTCAACGAATTCAACCGCAAAGGTAAGATGCCAAAGTATGAATAGAACATAAATCACT